AACAAAAACAAGCACCCATTGAATATGTCTCCTCTAAAGTCTACAACCTAAGTTGCCAACTGTAGAAAATATTGCTTCTCGCTCAAGGTTATATACATACGCCTAGAAAGTTTCAAGCAGATTATTGTTTTCCTGATGTGTATCAGTCATGAGTCAGACTGTAAAAGCGTACTAAAGAGAGAAAATTATCATAGTGTTTCAGATAACAGCCAAGCATGCTGGGTATATGCTATATTTCTGAGGCTCTGTGCTGTTCCAGTCTACCTCTTATTGAAGTAGAGTAGAAAGAGGACCTGTTAGCATTGTGACACAATTAAATTACATGATGTAAGACTATTTCAGGAAGTGGATACAAGTGAATGTGTCAACTGGAATTGAGAACCATAATTAGGTGATTGATTCATGAGAAGACCAGACTTTGAATTAGATTGATCCAATCATATCACCTTACGTTCAGTTAACTCAATTTAAGTCTTGACATCATACAACTTGGTGAATCCATATATAAATTAAATTCACACGCTTTTTGATCAATGTAAACAGAATGTCTTATTGTGTTTATCTGATACTTCATTCCATACAGAAAATTCAAGAGTCTATTGATCAAAAGTTTTTTTGTCAATGTACATAGAGAATAGAGAACCAGAATAAATTACATTCTCAACATAGGTGAATAACAGCTACTATTCTAGGAACAATGAAAACGAATGTTTGTAGAGTAGTTGTGTAGATTACTAGTGGCCAACGATATGTTGTGTGAATATCCCCTGAGATATAATCTCATAAAATACGCGCTTAACATTCATATGTTACTACAAACGAGAATATTCCTGTTACTCCAGGTTTTTCAGTGCCGCATGTTTAAAGTAATTTTTTTACTTCATTATCGAAGTATTGACGCTAAGCGCAGTTAATTGAATAATAGATTACGATTTCATTTAAATAATAAACAGCTGAACATTTATCGCTTGGGGTCATTCAGTACTCACACTTGGGTCAACGTTAACTCTCGTAAAAGGTACTATCAGGACAAACAGTTTGAAACAAGAGTTTACTTTGTTTAAAGAAACAAGAAGTCGATCGCACTTTTCTCAAAGTTCACCCAGTGTTCGTTCGATCATTTTCATCAAATTAAGAACAATAATTGCAAAATAAATTAGGCTTATATCGTTGCAGTCTACTTGGTGGCTACCAGCAGAATCTAGCGAGGACGTTTCGCCCCATTTGAGACCTTTCGGTTGGATATATCTGCCCACCAGTGAGTGATGTTCTTCCCGCCGGAACTCGAACCCAGTACCTATCGCTTCAAATCCCAAAGAGTTATCTACTAGGTCTCAGTAGGAACAACATCACTCACTAGGATGCAGGTATATCCAACTGATCAGTTTCAAATAAGATGAAACGTGCTCTATAGATCCCTCCTGATAGCCACTAAGTAGACTACAACATTATAGATATTCAAGCAGTCTCGAGGCAACCCCATAGAAGGCCATCTGCCAACACAGATCGAGCAATGCGACCCAGTATAGCAACGGAAAATTACAAGTGTCAATAAACAGTAAGCTTATATTGCTTCGTTGTGCGGTTTCTCTAATACTGAAAACAGCTCAAATGAATGCAAAATTAGTGGGGAGATAAGTTAGAAATAAAATTTCATGTTAGAACAAAGTAACCATGTACAATAGGAAGGAGATAGAACAGGCAAGATCAATTATTGAAGAATTTTAGCAATATGAGTGATAGTGATAAAGTATGTTTAACTACGAATAGCTGGAAGGAAGATTCCAGAGTTTTGACAGTGGGTTTTAGGAAGAAATAATAACAACAAAGTAAGCATTATAATGATAACAGATTTATCGCACAGAAATAAACAAACGACCAACATATTACGCAAAACATACAGAACAGATAGGAAGATTAAAAAGAATGGAGAAAATATTTAAGAGGGAATGCGACAGTTGAAAAGAAACACGGTTACCGCGGCAATGTCAGATCAATCACTGTCTCTTCCTGAATACAGAGGTCACGTTTAAAGCCTTTAAATGCTATTATTTCGGTAAAGCGGAGTAGTACATAAATTTCTTGTCGATTCGTTATTTGAAAGTAGGCTGACATATCTACGGTATGTCCTGAGTTGAGCAAGTGGTGTGTGATTGAGAACCGTTCAATCTCAGACTTGTTGCAGCATAACGAGAAAAAAGAATAAATTCATCTATCTGTTCTACAGATAAGCATGGTTTTCTATTACATGTGAACTAGTAAATACAGTTGATAGTGATATTAGATATATACATGTTCATTTTGACTGGTATGTGATTCACCTATTGCTATAATGAGAAACAAGTTATGCTCGTACTCCATCATAAAAATAATGTTCTCATGTGCACTGTTCAAAACCTGGAACTTTTCCGAGGCATAATTAAAATTATGCAAATCATAAACGACAACTGCACACTTCGTATAAAATAAACCACCATCGATAGCTGGTTTCAGTGTGCTCACTTCTAAGTTTAGATGAATATACCGGCAAGTATTGGACCGTGTAGAGTTCACGTAGCCACTCCATCGATATGTCGAAACAATTTATTGTTGAGCTGGAAGTGAACATCTCTGTTGCATAGAGTTAAAAGTTGCTTGAAGTCGTCTTTAAGTAGATGAAGAAATTCAAACACCTTATAAATGATCTCAAAAATCTCATTAACTATAATGTTGGTGATTAGATTTTAAAAAACACTGAAGGATAAAAAGTACTTGCTTAAAGTATGCAAGCTTTCCCACAAACTGAAGTGTTTTTTTTAATTATACACAACTAGGTTGTCTGAAATAGGTTTAAGCTTCTCTAGATCGAGGCAGTTTGTGATACGGAGAGTCAACCACTGATAACATGAATCTCAGTAGGACCCCACTTTGTGGGTTTTCGGTAGGTCATAGATAAAACAGATGCGAAGTTTATTAGGGCTGGCCACTGAGTTGAAAAATAGGTTTAAAGATCAAGTGTTCACCAAGCTACAGTAAAGTCTTGGGTTCGATAACGGATGAAAGTTGATGGTTACAATTACTGTCTAGAACCAGAAGGAATAAGATGTTTGGGCCTCCATAAATTTTCTAACCTAGGTTATGTGGTAAGGAAAAATATCTTTAGATTATATGTAATTCTTAACAAGAGCAGGATATTCACGTAATATATAATTCATAGAAAATCGTTCAACATGCAGAAAGCACTTTGCATAAATTGTTACACTTTCGCCTTTGTTACAGGCGATTCGATGCTAAAAAGAATCTAATAATAATTAAGTCAGTCACTTGGAAACCATTTACTAATCAGTGTAAGCCATATGTAAAACAGGTTGTATAAGGCATAATTATTCTGTGATGTGTGCTACTGAGAAGAACCAGTCCAAGTAGCATATATTGTGGTGCCTTCAGCAGAAGTCACGATGGTACATGATTAAATGATGAGAGAAACAAAGCATAACAGTTGGTAGGTAATAAAGGAACCAAAAAGATAGGAAGAAGGAAGTCAGTACCATGCCAAATACATCCTTTATCTACTGCCAAAAAGTGTAGTCTGTTCAGTTTTCAATGAATATTCCTGTAAGTTGATCTCAGATGACACTGTTAACTGCTTTCGATCATCCTTGCTCCAATTTCATCAAGTCAATCAGATAACTAGTCAATAAGCTTTTAGTTAGTGCTACGTTGTGAGCAGTTTGAACGTTGATCACAAAATTACTTACGTGATGTTTATTGCCTGTTTTACTGATTACTTATTTCTGTTGATTAAATAACTTGGTACTTCAGTTGAATTGAGTTCTTTCAACTATCTTCATTTGTAAATTCGTTGAGAAGTCTTAGTAACAAACAGCAGTCTTAACACTTGTTGTTTTGGTCTTCAGTTGCCTTGATATTTTACACAGTCTATAATACTATCTTTATTAATGAACTGTAGGTTGTTGCTACAAGATCTATATTTCAGCAAATAGGTTACAATAAACATTCATAAAAAAACTACATTTTGAAGAATGCTGATTACTTCTATAGTCATGCCTTCTATAGCAAATACAATTTTATACCCATGAATTTATAGCTCAAGAACCGGTTTCTCACCAATACATAGGCTTCTACAATTTTAAGCAAACATACTTCACAAAATAATTTGTTTAAAGATTGTTAAGAAGCTTGGGGAACAAACAGTCGTTAGAGCAACTGGCAAAAATATTAGCCTTCTTTGTACTATCATAGCCTTTGAAGGAAGTTTGAGGAAATTTACTAAACAAAAATAAATGAACTCAGTATCCCATCATTTAAAAGGTTGTTAGAAAGTGGAAGTCAAACGAGTTCTTGTTTATAAGGTTACAGACAGAAACCAGTTTACAGCGGTATTCATCCCACCCCAAAGAAATGTAGGCTATAACTTGTGAATGATATGCAACTTTTTCTAGTTCATAACGGTTGCGATTATCTACCTAAAATTATAACTGAATCAAATAACTACTAGCAACATTTGCTTACAGCCCGCAATAAGCGAGCCTAAAATATCCCAAAAATCAAAACAGTTAGAAAAGATGAAAACTATCAACTGTAATATTTAAACGGTCGTAAATACGGTTATCTTTCTTTTATCTGGTAAAAGTGAATCATACATTTTGTTTAGCTCTTGATCTTTTCAAAATGTTTATTCTGTGGCTTACACAGCGAAGCGTTCAGAAAAATATATACTCTGATAATGATGAAATTTGACTCGGAACTCAACTCTTTACAGGATATTTCTAACCACGTTTCGGCAAGTAAATCAAAGCACTTTTATCTTACCGTGTTAAGTAGAATGAGTCAAATGACCTTCATAATATACAGGCCGATCATCGACTGACCAAATTAGTTAACGAATTTGACCTGTGCTAAGTTCAGCTTCTGATTTAATTGTTAAAACTACTGAATGACCAGATGTGAAATAGTCATAATAATTCCAACCTCTTTTAACACTGAATGACAAGTGATATTACTGAAGATATCGTAAATCAAACAGCCGACTGATTGTTTTTACTGAATTATGAACGCACAAAAAATAAAAGAACACATTTTTTACAGAACAAATAACACATTTTATTCGACACAAGTGTACGAAGTTTTTAAAGAAAGTCACTGTCAGATAGGCGATCTTCAAATCATTACAGAGTACAAACAGTGTGCTTTTATGATGAGATTACGTTCCTTTTTTTTTAGTGGGGAATGCAATATCACATTGACACAACATTGATACAAAGACAACAATTAGAAAACAAGACATAGCACAACACAATCAAGTGTTAAAATTAAACAAACCGGTTTGGTTCTAAATATAAAAGAAAGCTAATCGATAGGAAAAGATACCAGAAGACAGACAAGGACAAAAGGTGAAACAGTTTTGCTACCAGCACGAGATTTAAAATAAACAATGTTACATGATAGAAATAAATGATGACGATCAAAGGAAAAATAATCAGAAATAAATGGAAAAAAGAAGTAGGAAACCATTCATATGAGTGATAAATTATAAGTGTGAAGGTATCCATATTATTACTTTTTATATTTTAAGACAAGAATCACAGTGACAATAAGACTGTGTTAATCATCTTCTAAATTCCTTGTAACTTTGCTAAAGTCGAATGGATGTCCAGTTATTCTTTCATACATTTCCAATACATCTGTGCATGTGCTTTCAAAATGAGTTGATGCATCATAGCTCTTTGAAACATATATCTGGAAAAAAAAAAGATCACCTAGCATGAACCAAACGAAGTGGCGTAAACATTCACTACCTTTTCTTAGCATTTTAGCAGGCAGATTCTACTTGATCGCTTCAGGACATACAAATAGAGCAATTCTGCTGGAGAGAAATGAATGGGGTCTGTGTATACTTTTATATAAAATCTTAAAATGTATTCGATGAGTTTCTGCTTCAACAAGTCAAAACGATGTTAAATTCAAATATACTTCGTAGACACGAGAGGTTTACCTGATGAATGTGGGAAAATTTGATTCCAAATCAATAGAATACATAGGTTGCATTTTCCAATGGGAATGGATAGAATATAAATCTACCTTGGTCAGCCGCAGTCACATAGACTATACGTAATTAATATTAATCATCTATAACTCTCTATTAATCCCACTAGTTTTCTTCTTTGAAACTTAGATGTTTCCACCACAATCAGTCACTAGATAGTTATTTTTTCTCGAATGCAATATCTGATATATTTAACCAAGATTAGGTAAGTGAAGAATTCCACCACGGCATTAACTGTTATTTTTTATTTTAATTAAAAAAAAAAAAAGTTTCTTTTTTCCCATAAAATCTGATTTTAATGAAACAATTTGTGAGGTGAATAGATTCCTGGAATGCATGGCAAAGCGTTTCGAACAGAGGAAATAGCCTATTCTACTGCTTTAGGAATTTTGATCTCACTGAAGGTCTTGCGCTTTAGCGCGTATAACGAAGCAGTAAGCACACAACCCCCATTGGTTGGGGCCCTCATTATGTTAGGCTAGAAACTTTTAGTAAGATAGCTCACAAAGACGCAAGATTACATGCTTTCAGTCATCTCTGAAGCCGTGAATATTGCCATCAATCACCTTCATTATTTACACCCCCACTCATCATACATTTTTTCCATTTATTTACCTTTTCTTTGCAAGCTACTGTGAAGTGTATGTGTGAACCAATACACTTTTATGCAAGGTTCTACGCTGATTTATCTGCTTGTTTCGGAGACAACAGTAAGATGCTGCCCTTGGACATAGAACTTCTAGCTTCCTTGCTTGTTTAATTGGTAAAAGGTGGTTAATAAAATTCGAACATTCCAGTGTGAGGTCGGTACAAAATTGTAAAAACAGCTGGAAGAATATGAACCGCCACAGTCGGCTGCTTATTTGAACTGTAATTTTACATTATAGTCAAGTAAAGAAACAGCGTCTTCGAAGAAAAATCTTTGCACCAGCTATCTTGTAACACAGTGATAGTAGAAACTACAAAGTATGGGTTTAGAGAACCATGAGATATTATGTTAAATACTGGAAGAACTGTCTGGAGTTTCCATAAAGTTTAGGTTAAAAAATAATTACTTTCTTAAGAGTCATATTTTGCGAAATTTAAAACTTCAGATGTCACATTCAAAATACGAGCACTAGCTGCTTCAAAAATCCTACTACCTGGCAATCACGTATAACTTTTTAGCAGAGGAGTAAAGGGAAGTAGTACATTAAGTCGTACCAGAGAGGAATTTCAAACCTACAACTTGACGACTGAGTGTTCAGTATTCAGACTACTGTAATGGAGTTTAATGGGCACTAGTCGTTACCCTTTCAGAATAAGAAATTGGATATTTTTATTCACGCTTAGTGCCAAAAGGTACAATTAGAAATAAATCTTTTCTTAATCCCCAAGCTTAGAGGGGAAACTTACGTTACTTGATCTGCCATCATCCACGGGTTCGTACAAATCTGCTACTGAGTAAAATACGTGCTCAATACGTCCAAGTAACTGCAAGCCCGGTTGAAGTTCTTGATGTGGATTCGATGTTTCTACAGTTGTTGCCACGAGGACAACAAAGAATTTTTCAGGACATACGTAATGTGGATGTGAAACACAAGAAACGTATATATCTGAAGTGAAGATATGCGCATAAAGTATTATATAAACATACCATGACGTCGACCAACTTGATTTTGAGGAATGATTATCTGTGATGAAAGAGAGTTCTTTACATTTGGAATAGGATGATTCAAAATGCATATGGCGCGGACAACCTGGAAATAAGGAAGATGTCTTCAAATTGAAAGCATAGATGGCACTATTTAGACTTGTAGATAATGGAAGTGCAAAAGAATTAACGGGTTCTATTCCTTATTATATTTTTCTTTTTCTTTCCTCGTTATTGGCTTCATAGTGATGGTTTATTACGTTGTGTGGCATATTTTCTGAAGCCCATATTGTAATAAGCTTGTGTTTAAAACAGACATAATTTCTTAGGAGATACTCGCGATAGTTTCACGTTTTCTCCTACATAGGTCTCTAAATGACAATGTGATGAAAAAAACAGACTACTTGGAAATACAGACTAAAAACATACTAGAGAATTAGCCTAAGTTCTTATTATTACGGCATATCCGGATAACACCTGTTATATCCAAACTCTACTGAGAAGAATAACGGTTGCTGTGATAAGGATAAATTTAGCCCTCAGCCTTCGAAATAGTGGAGCTTGTGTTCGGATTTAAGCCCTAATCACCAAGCTATTCAGATTAAGAACGGATATGGAGATTGTTCTACGCATAAGAGTGAAACTAAGAACTGCATAACTTTCAGGAGATATCTTATGCATTTTGTAAGAGCAAGGAAAAGTTTACAATGATAAAATCTGAGAAATTTAGCAAATTTCCACAAAATGGCCACAAATAATATCATTTTTGAAGTGTTTTCTTGACTAGCCTGTTTTGATAGTGAACATTTAAACATTTTTTAAAGGTGAGTTGAACTGAAAACTGATAGCGGGTAAGTCACCCATAAAATGAAAACAAAACCACTAAACTACAGTGGTAGAAATGCGAATTCCTTGCTGTTATGAACTTCTTTGCCTTAATGAAATTAACAATGTTCAACTAGGCAGAAGCACTCTTCTATAGGCACTAACTTGATCAGCACGTAATTAACTTACTTCAACTGAAGAAAAACTTGTAAAAAAAATGGTTAGAATAAGTACCTCCAATAATCAATTGAAATAACGATATGCCAAGTAATTTTGAAGGTAAGCACGATTGTATTTGGTTTCTTTCCTCTGTCCCTCTTTCAGCAACCATGTGCACGCTTATACACTAGACAATCAAGACCACTAATACTACCTGGTTGCTCAAACCTCTATAAGTGGAGCGGGGTTTGAACAAACGACTATCTATACCAGTAAGCCACAGTCCTTTACATGACTAAAAAATATAAGTAAATTACAGATGAATGGTTACCCTGAATTACAGCTGCTTCAGTAGCAATGAATACTTACAGTGAAAATATGAAATTTAGAGGAATTCGAGTTAACTCATTTAAAACAGTTGTTATATTAGATGTTACGTTGTACTTTTCATCCGACATTTCCATCTGATTCTGGATACATAAGGTGCAAAGAGTCATAGTTAGTCACTAACATGAAACCTTACATTACTACTACTTAGCAGTTTCAGTTACCAATCCTCACACCGTAGCATGAAAGAGCAATCTATGGGAAGACAGACCCATCACATTTACCTGTTATTTGACCACAATATCATCAATGTCCACCTGATAGCTTTTAATTAAATCTCTCAAAATGATAAACAAATGTAGGAACAGTGTTCATCTTAACCACGTTTCTGTGTAACCCGTGTAGAAAATAAGGTTTGTACAGATAATTTACATTCCTTTTTTGTCTACTTTGCTACTTTGTGTAGAACGAAATAAATAGGATAGTTTTCGTGTTCCGAAAAGGTTACTTTTGGATAAGCGTTCCTAGAAATGGAAATTTTTACCTGTCCTTAAACATATACGTCATGGTGGAAAAATCGTATTGCGTGATATTTTGGTAACGTTGGCTAGTTAAGTGGCAAAACGTTCATCGTTATACTACATATCATTTGACATGAACAATGTAAATAAATAAATATTGATCAGGATACTGCTTACAGAGGGAATGGGGAAATAATTCAAGAAGTTTTAATGCACTAACCTGGCCACACTTTCGGACGCGATCTGGTGCATAGCTAGGATCACATATTACTTTATCACACCGTGCAATCTCGCCTTCAGATTTTACGCCAATGACTTTGCCATTTTCTATTACAATCTCATCTACTGGTTTGTTTAACATATATGTGCCTCCATATACTGCGCTCAGTCGAGCAAAAGCCTGGGGCAATTCTCCCAAGCCATAAAGAGGGTAAAGGTATGGAGACTTCCCGAATCGATTGACTGAGTGGTTATACAGCTGCATTTTGGTGACAACCTCGATAGCTGGTGCTTTCTGTCTGTAAGAATCATTTGTATACAGGCAAATAGCATGACCGACGAAATTCTATACATTAAAAAAATAATAGCGTGAAGGCATAGAAAGTTATACAAGACTGTCCCAGTATGTGGAATGATTAAGAAACTAAACGAATTTAAAAAAACAAATTTCAATAAAATTAGCGACAGATGCAGAAGTTTGTTAGAAAATATATTAACATATGGGGCTGGTAAGCGGGAACACAAACATTCGTACGATCGCACAGCCCATGTATACAAAACAGTCAAATACGGTTGAATGTTACACAAAATAAACACTCTTCAACAAAACATTTAGCTACGGAAAATTAACAGTAATGCACTGAATCGTGGTTTAGGCAATAGTGTCACCCAAAACTGTTGGGAATCAGGAATCCTTGAAACAAGTTGGTGATTATGCGGAAATTTACATCCAGCCCTCTACTTTTGATATATGATTACGATTCGCATAGTCAAAGAGTTTTTTGACATTTGTGTCTTCTGGAGTCGAGGAATTGAACTGCTTATTGAGAAAGATAGCTTTATTTCAAACTACTGTATGAGGATACTGAAGTCAGTGGATAAGTAGCCTAATTGTGAAAGGTTTATATGTCTATAAAACAAAATTGATGTCTATCAGATTATCGGGAACTCAATGCATAAACATATGGTATACAAATATAATGATAATCGAAAACATGCAATTTTGACAAACTGTTAGTTATCGGTAACCAAGTTTCGTAGACCTATACTCGAAAACAGTACAAAGTTAAGCAGTACACTCAGCCTTTAATAGGTGTTCTGTTACATCATACCAGTAGGGCGGTTAGTGAAGGTCGGGAAAGAAGTTTTGAAACGACTCAACTGGGTTGATGCCACTAACCAAGAAGAGGTATACGCACTGAGCCACTTAGCCGTTTTTCAGTAAGCTTCAGTATCACAGCAGACTACGCAAGAAGCGAAAGCATCTTAGACATCTGTGCCTAGTATATTTTCTTGAAAATGAGGCTACAGAGCTACCAGTAACAGTTAATAATCATATCATAGTGAAGTTCAGCTACACATACGGTATATTCCTGAAGCGATTGCGCAATACGACGAGCCAGTGGACTTCAGAGACCATAAACTAGATACTGTCCCAATCGAAATGGTAATGAAGTCAAGTTGTATGCAAAAGTCACCGTTACCAGAGTATTAATGGATGTGGAGAAACCCACTAGAATAGTTAGGGTTCAAATTAGGTACGTCAAACAGACAGACACACCCTAGTGTAACCTCCCATAGAAATGCATCAGTTCAAGTCGCCAGATTTCACAGCAGCATGCAGAGAACAAGACGGGGGGGGGGGAAGTAATACTAAAGTAGAACAAAGTATATAGGAGGAGGAACAACTAGAAAAAGGAAAGTAAGTGAAAATGTTCAAACTATGGAAGACGTCAAAGAGTGAATAAATTCACGCCATTGTGACTGACTTTCAGCCACGTTAACCAGGGTGCCAATCTTGATTTCTATTATCTCGAAGACCTCAACCAAGTAGTTTACACCTCCCTACACGGCTCACACGAACAAATAAAGACTTCATAAACTGGTAACCGTGGGCCTTCCTTTAACCCATTCTTACTTCAACTAATACTGCACGTCAAGGTAGGCGGTAAATCGGCATGTGCATCGTGACTAAAACATCTCAATCAGTGAGAGCTCATAACTTTATTGACTGTATTGCCTTCCTTACCCGACACTCTACACCCTCATCTCGACATTTATCACATGGTGATTGTACCACACACTCTCAATTCTGTGATGAATTGTAGTCAAAAACATGTGATTTCTTCATACCTTCTACCTTCAACAACCATGTTAGCCATATAATAGGAAAGAGCGAAGTATACTCGTCCTTTAACAGGTAGTCGAATATTTCGCTGACCTGACAGATGAGGGAAGTTGACAAATGACTAACGGACATTTTATATTCGAGCTGATATATCGTCAACAACCAACCCACTTGAGGTGAAGTGAAAGGCGCCAACCCATTTTACTACTTCCCTAACTCAACTAGGAGTTCGTGCAGACCAGTCTTGAAGTACATCTTAGACTTGGCAGGTGCAAAATGCATGCCAAACATACTCAGATTTCTGCCAAGGTGCTTAGACGATACCGCATTTTCTCAGCGTCTACGCCCAACAGGACAATGTTCTTTGCGTACTGTAAGACAACCAAGTGTGCACCTGGGAGTAATCCTCTCTGAAAAGTTCGAGGTACCTACGGTTATGTCTATCAATATATAAGTAGGAGAGACAGGAGACCCCAGTCAGGTAGTCTACACCTTCCTACACGGCCCAGACCAGCAATCAGAGACTTCATGAACTGGTGCCAGGTCTTGGTATGGCCAGCCTGAACTACGTTCCAGCCTAATTCAGCTTCTCCTAGCATGACGCATCGAGGTAGGCGGTGGCTTGGCATGCGTAATGCATGTCCAAGCTATCTCAGTCAACCAAGACTCACAACTTCGTCAATCAACTTGCCTGTCTTGTCTAGTACCCTTCAACTGACCTCAATATTGCTCACACGGTGATTTCACCAAACACGAGCAATGCTACGAGGGCACCTGTGGTCAAAGACTTGTAACCACTTCATATCTTCTGCTTTTAGCCCCTACATCTCACAGCCGTAAAACAGAATAGAAAGAACTGCAGCACAGTATACTCTAACAGGTAGTCAGATATCAAGTCTGTTGGTGCCACAGATGATGAAAGTTGGCAAACGCCAAACGGCCCTTCTTTATCCGAGCTGAGATTTCATCAGCAAGTAGCCCGTTCGAGCTGACACAACTCCCCAAGTGAAGCGGTCGACACACTCCACCAATTCACTCTTTCTCCTGAAGCCATGAGTAGTTGCAGACCACCCCTGGGACATCATCTTACATTTGACAGGTGCGAGACGCATGCCAAACATACTCATTACTGCTCAACGCGTTCATAAAACTCTGCATTTTATCAGCGTCTTGCCCCCGTAGCACATCGTCTACATAATCCAAGTCAACCAAATAACCACCAGGGAGTAGATCATTCCCTGTGAATTCAAAGTTACCTAGTGTTATGCCCATCACTACACCTATGATGAAGTTGAACAGGGATGGTGACAGCCAGCATGCCCGATGAACACCACTAGCTGTAGTCAATTTTGATGAGAACTCTCTGTAAGCCCTTACATGGCTGCATGGGTTCAAGTAGAGAGATTTGATTAGCGTTAAATAAACTTGCTCGGCACCCCCTTCACAGTCACGCTGCCACACTTCATGGTCGACAGAGCTTAAGGCCACCTTTAGGTCAAGAAGTATGGCAAATGTAAATTGTGGTTCAGAAAGCCTGTCCCAGGACCTACAAAGGAGTGAAAATATGGAGGATCTATTCTCATCCAGGTTTGAAACCTGCCCGGTTTCTCAAGTTTTTTGTTCTAGACCTCCAATTAGGCGTCATATAACGATAGGTCCCAGGATTTCGGACAATATTAGTCAAACTAATTCCTCTGTAGTTGTCACAGGAAGACTAGGACTTTTTAGATAGGGATGACCAGTGAAGTACACCAGTCTGACAGAACTACCTCTGATTTCTATACACTACCCAGTACCTCCGTCACTTTAATTAGCAATGTCCTACCTTCATCATTAGAAATTTCGAGTGGCAAACTGTCAGGTCAATCTGCTCTTGATCGTTTCAGGTTCCATACAGCTGTGTGCTGTGGACAAGTCACAGATATTTACCATCAACAAGGTGAAGTAGGAGGGCGCCAGCGTGATATCTGATTGCAAGGGAGGGTTAGTTTGACGGTACGGCTATACGCCATGAAACATAGCCATTAAAGTTGGAAGGTTAAACAGGGTTCTGAGTCTTCGACACATATAACCTATGTTCCGCGAAACTGATACTTCAGTAACGAAGTCTGGGGTATAGTTTTAGGCAAAAGGCAAGTCATGATGAGGTTGTGGAACTTTATCGACTAATGTGGCGGAAAAATGCTCGCAAGCTAATTAACGGTTTACTCCATCTTGAAACAGTAGCTGAAGTAGGTGCATACTAGAAAAAGACCAAAGGTGGCCAGATTATTATGGCAACAGCTCATGAAGCCTTTTATTATTGGTCAACATAGTAGGTGCAAACTTGTTGGTTGTAGTTCGTGCAACACCCGAATTTAGTGGGTGGAGACTAGGTTAATGGTTGACTGGTTGAACCAAGTTTCAAACATGGGTATAGTACTAATGACTGAGAGTTGTCAGTTTCTGTATAACGCATTTGGAATTTATTTTTGTAAATGAATATTATTAATCTCAGACACGATTATCTTGATTTTAGAGCACCCAATTCATATCATCTACTCAAGTGCACCATTCTCGTTAGTTGGTGATTCTGACAAAGCACAATTTTACGAACGCCTTCTGTGCAATCCTAGAAATGTTAAACTATAGGTACTCGATAATACATACTTTTGAAACAGTTTGAGTAAAGGTCACGCGTACTCAGTTAATAATAGGTAATCAAATCCGATTTAAGATTAAACTGAAATACGGCAATGGGTGATGAGAGCTGTGATACTAAATCATAAATTTATCGTGTTCAGAGGTGTTAATTGCTGTAACGAAGTTCTTGGGTTATGAATCAGTGGTTGAACATACTAGCTAGCTGAAATTCAATCACTCCAAAACTTCAAAATCTCGATTTTCCTATCACTTCACTTTTTCCCGCACTTCGTTTCCTTTCCAGCTACCACAGCAACTTAAAATTCTGTAAACAGAACAATGAAGAGTGGAGGAATAATGAAAGTTGCATCAGTGATATTTAAGAGATCGAGAAAATGCAAAGAAATAAGGAAACATGGAATAAAAGGTCCAGAAGACCATGACTGATTTTCGTTACTGAACACAGTAATCAGAATGCCATCAAGATAACAGTCTGAGGCCTAATAGTTGAATACATACTATGGTTCAATCACACTGATTCTTTGTTATCTGTTCGAAGATGATTTACTTTGATATTACTCTTTTTCTCTTAACTTGAGTTTCGTATGCTGATATCAAATCTGACGCAGTACCAGTCGATGAAGTCTCTTAATGTTGGTCTGAGCCATGTGAGTGTAGTCTCCTTGGTTAGGGTCACTGAGATGAAAGGAATCAGTGGCTGAGAACTCTTGGTGGGATGGCTGAAAGTTGGCCACAGTAGCGCAGATATATGCACTCCTTGACATATTCTAAAGCTTGAATATACGTATTAATCTCATTTTCGGATTGTTTATTCTCTCACATTACTTTATCTATTTTGATATCACTCTTTCTATCCGCATGTTTTTGTGTACTACTGTGAACTGTGGCAACTTGAGCCGATGCACCTGTGTGCGAGGTCAACATGATTTTGTCAGTTTTAAAATCTGGCGACTTGAACCGATGCACTTCTGTGGTAGGTTCTATGTTGATTTGCCTTCCTGTTGCCAACTAAAGTGTAGAAAATAATGCAAAGTTGATTTTAAACTCAAAACTTCGCAATGACTCCTATAAACGATAGCCTGTGGCGTCGACACAAATCAACGCAAGACATTACACAGAAATGCATCAGCTAAAGTCATTTACTTGTCAGAACATTCAGATGAGTTGGGTCAAAAAGGGTGAATTCGAAGTATGCAATATGTATGACAGGAGAGGGAATACATAAGTGAAGGTTAGTAAATATGCTTCAAGTCTTGAGCGTAAAACAGAGCACATATGGCGTCACTGACTGGTCTCGGTCCATCTCATCCAAAACCTTCAACCACTGGTTTGGAGCATTTTGACGACTCTAGTCGGGTAGCCCACACTTTGCTACACAGCCCAAACCAACAATCCAAGGCTTCACTAACCAGTGTCAAGTCTTGGTCTGGCTACTCTGGTCTCTCCCAACCTAATCTCTCTTTTGTTAACATTTTGTTAACATTCATGCTCTTATTCGCTTCACATATATTAACTGACTAGTCTAGTGATTTACAACTAAAACATATTACATAGTCTCACATGCAAGCAATGATATGAGGACACATATCCAAAAACTTTTTTCCTATTTTAGCGACCTTTTCAGCAATACAAAGGAATAAACTGCTGTACGGTAAATTCAACCTCTTGTGTACTCAGATACCTAGCTGTCACCAGAGATGGTGAAGATAGGTAAACGCGAATAAGCATTTTGAACTTGAGACTTCATAAGAAACTAGTACATACGGCTAACGAGAAATGTTAAGCGCAGAGGTCAACCACTATACTTTCTATTTTATAGCTAAGAACCAATAAAGTAAAAGCGAGGATCACTTTACGTTTGACAGATGCTCGCTTGAAATTGCTCTGAAGAATTCATTACGCCAGTGCTCCCACGCACCACGACGTTTTCTGCAACGAGTGACTGAATCCAACAAGTATTTTTATGTCAACATTCTGACTTCCAAGTATATAAAGACCTTCCAGAAAAAGGCATGCAACCACTGGTTTTGAGTCTTACATTGAGTACTGATGTAGGCACAATGTACTGAGTTTTTCATATTTCTGTTTGAGATGTGCAATGTATATTTCATCACCATCTCTACCTAAAATATGTTCGTCTAAATATCGCCCGTCACAAAAAGCGTCTTAAATACACGCTATATATATATATATATATATATATATATATATATATATATATATATATATATAAGAGAGAGAGAGAGAGAGAGACTAGTTTTATGTAAAGAGGTATTAAGGCAGAGAAAGTAACTCACCTTAGTAGTTTCATCGACACCAAAATGTGAGAAAGCCACTTCGATGGGATCACTGAGGACACTTTTTGGTGGAGGGTATACAGTATTCCAAGTGGAGGGGTTATTAGGATCTACGTCTATCACCCACTGTAGGAGATTTCTTAGCCTCCTCTTTTCGAATAAAGAGACCAAACCTGTCGTAAATACGATTTAGGAAAAGAGCGCACTTGTAGACAAAGCTTCACTTGCACTACTTGGAACTTTGTGTATTGCCTTTTTGTCGTAAACGTAACTCTCCTCAATACTCTTGAACTCGAGATACCTAGTAACACCAGTGTGAACAAGTAGTTTAACCAGCTTTCCTACAAAATACTCAATAAAAGTATTGCTAACCGTCAGCCATTAGAAACTTTGGGATGAGGTCAACATTCCAGTCTCTTCCACGTCCGAACGCTTGGAGGTCCGCTTTAACTTTAAACTTTTGAAAAAGGGCTTCGAGAGGAGTAATGGATGTAGTCTCGGCACCATAGTAGTCATTCCTGTCCATATGCAGAACTTTCTTTCCTTCAACAGACATTAAACCACTAAGTATACATTCCTAGATGTCAAAGAAGTTTACGTTGGTGAGATGAAATACCTTTAAACCCGTGCCTAGAACAATTATATCGTACTTCTCATCCATTTGATTACGTCAAAACCTGCGGGGATTTTGATCCAACATCCAACATCAATAGTGCGAGTAGAGGAAACTTGTAGTTTTTGAGCTCTCACTTCTGGGTCTTGAGGCTCGGTTCTTTTTATCCGGCTGGAACCCTTCAATGGTCTCAGAAGTCTTTGCGTCTTCCTGCTTGTGATTTTGGAAGTTAAGATTGTCCATTTGAAGGTAATTTAGTTACAAATTGTAGCCTGGTTCGTTTTGGAGGGGGGGGGACAACGGAGCTGCAGATAAGATCGATCAACCGTTTGCAACTCCTGTTTTTGTAAGCACCTGCAAGTAGGCATTAAGCGCTACTCAAGAAGTGCTAGAAACAGGGTGAGCGCGGAATGAGAAAAAGAGGAGTGAAAAGTACTAGTGAAAAGATAATTGTTACTGGTGATAATATGGAGGAGAGATGCATGTTATTGCAGATACTAGGGTTGGGGAATACAAGGATGGAAGGGTGTATCATCAGTTGCTACTGACGAATGTTCTTGATAAGCCATTTACGCTCACGTACTCATTCAGTAGTCGTTTGAAGGAGTCGACTGATGTAGCTGTTGCCACTTCCTTCGACAGCACGTTCCACAAAGCACATGCTCTGTGTGAAAAGTTAAATCTGCCTCTCGTCTTCGCCGTGTGGTGGGGTGTGTGAGTGGGGTTCCCACGAGACTGTCGGCTTTTGACCGATAACGTTGTTCTATTTGGGTGGTCCGATTGGTGAACGATATTGTGGGCTGTTATCAGGTTGTCTCGTTTCCTTCGATAGCTTAGTGTGAACAAGTTGAGTTGTCTGAGGTGGTGCGTATACGTTCCCCTGTTAGTCCGACTACCAACCTTGTCGCTGTTCCCTGTAACTTCTCGGGAGTATTTGAGTCTCCCTTTAGTAGTGAGGAGGGGGGAATATCATGTTGAACAACTCTAACAGGTTTTAAATACCATAAGGAATCGTTCTGGGGTTAAAGATCCGAGCTGCCTTCTTAGTAAGTGAATGATGGCGTTCGCCTTTGCTGCCATTCCCTTATAAATGCCAGTGGTGTCCAGTGTGTGAGAAAAGTTTAGTCCTAGGTCGTTTTCTGTGGACATCTTGGTGATTGCACACTTGCTAAGAGTGTAGCTGATTTTCCTCGCCTCTGGTGTGCGGAGATAAATCACCTTGTATTTCTCCAGGTTAAAGCTTGAACGGTTTGAGGCTGACCAGAACTGCAGCTGGTAGAGGTCATTTTGGAGTATCCTTGGATCCTCCTCGTCACCTATCATCTTCCATATTTTGATGTCGTTGGCGAATAGGAGGATAGACGTGGAGATTTTAGTGGTGAGGCCATTTATGCATAGTAAAAATAGGAGTGGCGTGAGAAATGTTTCTTGAGAAACTCTTATTCTTGCGTTTCTACAGGTTGATCGAATTCTGTTTACTTTAGTTGAGGATTCTCTGTTTCCTAGGTATGCTGTAAACCATGGTATGAGTGGTTCAGTGATGCCCACTTTTGTAAGTTTGGCCAGCATGGTGCAGTGTGGACGTTATCGAAAGCTTTGGCCAAGTCGAATAAGATAACGTGAACTGGTTGTTTGTTGTCCCATCTAGTGGTCCAGTCATCCAAGCGGTCACTAAGTTCGTGACACATGACCGCCCGGTTCTAAGCCATGCTGGGTTGGATGGACGATGTTACTTCTGTTAAGGTGGTCCTGAACAACATTTGCAACCAGGCTTTCGAATGCTTTGGAAAGTATGGTTAGTAATGCTATTGGTCTTTAGTTGCACGGGTTTTTTCGGCCTCCTGTATTGAAGATTGGTGAAAGGATGAACCGTTTTCGTTTTTTGTGGAGTTGAATTACTTCCAATGAGTGGGTGAACAGGTTGAATATGGGTATGCTTAGCACTTGGGCACAGGTGAGTAGGACCATCCGTCTTATGTCACCACAGCCCGAGGATTTCCCTTTTCTCAGTGTTGAAAGTTTCGCACACATTTGGTTTGACGAAACCTTCACGTTCATCATCTTTGTATGGCAGTCCTGCGACTTCGTCACACCACTGGATGTTGATGGTGGATGTATTACTGGATTGGGTTGCTCGTCAAATCGACTGCTCAACAGTTCCGATATCTCACTGCTGTTCAAAGGTTCGCTGGCCGACCCCGTGATCATGTTAAAGCCCTTATTCGTCGGTTTGCGCTGTGACATAAACAGTTACAAACTTTTTGGGTTGTAGTTTAACTGTTCAACCAGGTTTCTCTGATATGTGTATCTGTCATTACGAACTCTTATGTTACATAAGCTGGGTAACGTCTTGAAGCTATGACGGTCTAATTCTTTGCGTGATGTACACCACCGATACCATTTCTTCGTTTTCCTCTGTATTTGCCTTTGGGTTGGGTGAGTTACCCATGACCGTTTGAGAGGTGGTCGTGGGGTTAATTTCGAACATTTTTCGGTAACGCCCCGGATACTATCTTTAATATGTATGCAGTGCTCACCTGTCGATAGTGAGTGCCATTATTATGGCAGTGCAGCCCCCAGGAGTTCACTGTTCATGAGATGGTGTTCTGCCTTCCGGTAATAGCAGAAGGTTTGTGGCTCATCTGTTAGAACATAGTCGAGTGGCAATCCTTTTCCATCTGGTCCCATCTGGTGTTTTCCACAACCTTCTCTATCAGCCCTGCTGCCATATACGTATTTCGAAGTTCGTGTTCGAAAGATTTATTTCCATATCTTGCTTCACGTCCCGCGTTGAGGGACGGTGTGTTAGTCTTCAGCTGGGACTACATGGTCATGGACTGCCGAGGTGGTTGTTGAAATGGTACTGAGCTATTGTGCCTTATGCTCTGTCGTGCAAAGAGGAGGCCTACATACCACTCCCAATAGGTAATTAGCTTGGTTTATGGTGAAATAGCAATATAAGGAGGCTGGTGGTACGCTTAAAATGCCATCAGTCGCTTCCTTGGCTTTTTGGTGAGTACTGACGTACATGGCAACTCCTTCGCCGGATTCCAACCCCCTATCCTTCCGGAACAAGGTCATGTCAGGCAAAGGTATTTCCTCATCCATGTTGTCGGACGACGGGCATGTCCCCGTGATGAGAATTATATCCGCTTGCAGATTATGGCACATTGTTTTTAGTAGTTTAGTAGTAGTAGTAGTTTACTCCCAAGACCCCTTACAATGGTGTGAAGGCAAGTCAGGTAGCTACGTTCTGAGCTCAGTACTACATGGGGACTTTTCTGGAGGCTGGTGTGCTGTTGCGTCCCGTTTTTGGTCTCTTTTGGCATCTTGGCGTTGATGTGGCTGTATTGTTTATTGTATCTACAGGTGGTTCACCAGGTAGCTCTTTTCTGACCAGTATTGTTTGTAGTATTCTTGGAGGTTGCCTTCCATTTTCTAATCTGGCAGCTCGTGAGTTACTTTCACAGCATCGTATAGCAACTCCTATTTGGTCTTTTACACGGTACCATACTATGAGAGCTTCTGTTGCTGATACTCTGCAGTCAACGCGTACAGTCAGAAATCTTGGTGAGGAAATGCTTTGCAAGTACGTGGGTCCTAGTAACCTACTTAAACTGCTGGCAAGCGAATTTCCAGGTCTCATTTTTGCCCCAGTCACCATTACCGGACGTCAAGGATTTAATTATCACATTTTGTGAGCCCATACGCCAGTTCAAGTATTCCATGCACTACAGTGGTCGCGGATTTGTGTAGATCACTAGGTGCGAACTTTCTCTGCACCTGTCCGGTGACCCGAGGTTTATGGAGCAGGAGTCTGCAATGTCTAGCCGGTGCGACAGCGGCAGCACATTCCCCGACTGTTTCGCTGTCATTGCTGACACCGTGAGAGGTAGCGGTTTATCCTGAGGCGCTGTGATTCCTCAAGGGGGCCAGCATAAGTTGCCTGCGACGGTTTGTTTTCCTAACTTTCTGCAGTAGTCGCCCAGCTTCTCCTCGTCAGACTGTTCTCTTTTTCTTAAAGGTGGGTCAGCTGATATAGAGACGTTCAAAGGAGTAATTAGATCCGTTCTCCTGTCCTGTGGGTCCTGGGAGCCAGTGCTTTCGGTCCACCCTTTACCCTATTCACTTCAGTCCATGCGTTTTCAATACAACCTGTCTCCTCGGACTGTTCAGTTCCGTTTGACCATCTGGGTTTCAGGGATAGGGGTGAGGACTATGTTAGTGCTTCACTTGAGGTCAGAGCCAGTTTCTTCCTGCCTCTAGGAACGACGCTTTCGAACACTTGTCGAGACCGACCAGAATCTGAGGGTAGATTATGGGAGCTCGCGCTTCGTAACACTTTCGGCTGTACTAGGTTATCCAGTTTGCCGGCGGTGATGGCAGGTGGTTTACGACACTCTGGGTATTTATACCACATCCATTTACATAGGCGATTGCTCGTAAAGCTGTAGTACTGCCCTGGAAAACCATCATCACAGTTACAGTGTACCCATTTTAGACAGATGCTGTACGCAAAGGCTTTTTGAGTTCCTGACAGTGATTCTTTGCAAACACCACAGTCGTCAGAGGTTTGTTAACTGTTGACGACTGAGTTGTTTGACTTCTGTGAGGTGAGGTCAGGCGTAGTGTGTGCCAGTGTGTTCGTTGGCCGACATGCGCATTTTTCTCGTGCTTTATTGTTACCAACGGTATGCTTGGGGACGTGTTAATGTCACCCGACTAAATGAGTTTGCCGGTTTTGATAAATGCTGTGGTTAAAAAGAACATGCACTTACCGGTTGCTTCAAGATCGTTGGTTCAACAGCCAGCGTCATTTCGCGATCTAGTTTATACCGACTGATTGCTTCGCACTCACTTCCGGGTCCTGCGGAATGGTTCTAGGTCTTCGATGGACCTCAGTGCGGCAGGTCTACCCACTCAACTGATGAAGCATCGGCCAGCCCGACAGGTTTCTTCGGGGACTGTTGTGCAGATGGGTTCCTCAAGCGTCGTCCCACCATACAGTTGGTTGAACTGCTTGTAAAAAGAAGATAGGAAAAGTGTCCATAGAAATCAGGAGAGCGGAAGTGCGGAGAAAAAGGGCCAAAAAAGAATAGAGTTGGTAAAACTATTCGTAGGAAGTAGAAACTTGGGCAGGTGTTAACATGGAGGCATAATGTTGAGTCAGTTTTACGATGACAAGGGCGCAAAAAAGCTACTCAGTAATGGGTTGTCTGTGGTGAGTCGTGCTGAGTTAGTAGGTTGTGTCAACACAATCCATATCGAGTCAGGATGAGCGCAAACGATGCATCCCGCGTGACTGCCCAGCTCATGAAGCTATCAACAGACGGGCGGTTTCAATC